TTCCATACACGGACAACACCTGCTAATAGACCCGACCGACTTAGGAAACAAACAGGACCGCATTGATCCAATACGTTGTTCTCAAGAAGGACATTTCGCATCGGGTTGTAGAAATTCCCAGGTGCTGTTTTGCTGGGATTGTGCACGATGAGGAATGCGCACTATAGATTGTTGCCGGATTATGTCGGGAAACAGCAATCGGATCCAAATGAACAGAGGGGTAACGGATCCATTGAAAATGGCCAGCCCCTCAATTAAGAACTTCCCTCCACGTAGAAACAACTAAACTGGTTGCTACTATAACAGGTTCTGTTATGCTCCTAACTGCCACGGTTTACACTGGAGCCACCAGTAATCTCATCAGTGAAAAACTTCTCACACCATTGTCGCGGAGCTTTAAAGCTTTAACATGCTGCTAGGGATACCTTGATCGACGGATCCCAAAGGCAAATACGAGAAGCGGTTCACACCCAAGTCATTTTTGGAAATCAGCGATTGTCCGCCAGATTTTAAGTTTTGCCGAAGTAACAGAATACCTAGTACTGGGACTAGACTTTTCAGATTTGTCCTCCAGACCCGATGCTATAACGGACTTGGAGCAATTCTAACCTAAACTTTCGGCGAAGGTGAACGTGTAATAGCACATACCAGATGAACGTTGAACGAGCAGAAAACAACTACTCGGGCACGGAAAATGCGTTAATACATCGAAGACTAGAATTTCCCGGTGATAACGGATCAGTTCACACTAAAATTACAAAGCTCTATAGAGAATTACACTGGAAGACTTGTCCGCCTGGGTTGGAGTTGCAACAATACACGTTTACCATAGAATACTGGACGCGTAGCTTAAACGTACTGGCGTATGCCTTGTTCCGGGAACGGGAGGAATCGCTGATGCCGGCCGGGGAGGAATTTTCTACTCAGTGCCCCTGGATTAAAGAAAAAGTAGAAGCGATTAAGAAGAACACGGAGAAGTTTTCATACATCTTTACCGAAAACTGCGCATGTCACAGTTCCTGATTCTGTCTGATGTTCCGAAAACGCCTTCGATACAGAGAGATGCTTCAATGGGTTCGATGCTTGACCTCTGCACAAGTCGCTCTGACACCAGTATAATCTGTGAGCCGGAATCAAGAATTACCTTAAATTCATAGCTTCTTCCATTATTGGTTTCCACAGCAACCCGTACGGTTGCAAGGAGTACATGTGCTGGAGCTCTATTCGCCGATGCCACTGTTGGCGGCTTCTGAGTTGACACCACTACTGACTGGTCTTAGGCTTGTCGCCTTGTGGAAAAATTCAAGAGTGTATTGTGCTTTTATTGACATTTCCCTTGGTTGCAGTAATATAGGGGGTTAGGAGGTGATCACCTTTGCCCATTTGACATATATACTCTTTTGAATCCCGTTGACTGCTTCTAATGACTCAAAACGACTCATCAAATATTTATAAAATGATCCATCATTTGGAGCTCTTTGGTATCCTTAATCGACTAATCATACAACACATGAATAGTCTTGTCCATCCTCTTTGTTAGGATGTGGATTAAGAGTAGATCCCATACTTTTGGCTTTACTCACTGGAGGGTCAGTGCCAATAACGATTCATAAAGAATGTCATGAAAGTTCTTGACTGATCTGCTATCGCCAGACATGTTGGGCGGGTTTAATATCCTCTCAAGTATAGTTGACACTTAAGCTCTCTTGTTGTTGTATCTGTCTTGGAGTGTCTTTCAAGCAATATCGCCTTTGTTTACTCGAGGTGCCGTATGAGCTTCTCGGCTTCTCCAGTTTTTTCCTTGAATTTTGTCGTATCTTCCATGAAGAGGACATATGCTGATGCATCGTACTCCACCAAAGTTGGGTCCCGAACATTTTTAATTGGATGTCTTCCACGTCTGAACACAATTTCTCAAATGCAGCCACTATCTGACAGGGTGCAGCTTAATCAGAACTATCCCTTATCAAGGTTTGATTCGACTGCATTAGAGCCCTCTGACGTCTCACTAATACAGCTACACTGATAGTTACATTAGGCTGACTGGATTGCTTCTGTACCCCTCCTTTGTTGCGAAAAGCGGTTGGTACTCGTTACTGACGATATCGGGATTTGACTCTGCCGCATGATTTTGTTTTCATTGCGGTCGATATACGCCTAGAGTGCTTCCATTTCCTTCAACTTTTAGCTGTAGAAATCCACTGCTCTACTATTCAATGGAGCCTTTTTCAAGTTAGCAATTGCTTTCCTCAACTCGGCAATTGCTGCTTGCTGCTGCTCTATTACTGTAAGTAGGTTCATACTGAATATGTGATACGATGGTAACCTTCCTCACAGATGTTAATAATGAGTGCTGCAGATGATTCTGGTGCTTGCTTAATGCAGTAACTCTCTTCCTTCTCCAAATGGTTTCTGGTTTTTAATGTTGTTACAAGGAACCGCCGTCCTTCTCCAGATGGTTTCTAATATTTGATGATTCTGGCTGTTGACACTTGCTGTTGGTTATGCGGAACTAGTTTCTTGCTTTCACCAATAAGTGTTTCAAATTTTGAATTTATCACGTCGGTGTCACCAAAAAATGTTTATTAATGTAAAGGAAAAGTAGATGTACACAACACTTGAATTATGTAATCTTGATAGGCTTACAATTTTTTGCAATCTACCATGGCAAAATTAAGAAGGTAAAGTCATTTCCAACAATCATACCCATCTCTGCATTTTCTGCTATTTACCTTGTCAAATATCACTGCATAAAAATAGGTTTCCTTCTCTGATTTGTGCATTAAAAATGGATTTATAATTAAATATTAAATGAATAATTTTGAAAAAATTGTGAAAATATGATTGCGTGACATTACCTTCTTGATTCTTCCATGCACCAGTATGTACCAGTATGTACTTTTGAACACCCAACTTAGAGTCCTTTATCCGGCCGTTCGCAGAAGCGTAGCTGAGTGATACCGGACACAATTAAATGAGCAGTAGCGGACAACTCAGTAGTTTCCATGGGGAGAGTCTCGGAATAAATATCCGAGTGCCCATGATCCGTGGTCTCGACGAGGCGAATAACTGGCGCCTCTAATTAACCAGTGAACAGCGTTTGTCTACCGAAACAACAACGCTGGGGAGTTACGTAAAAATGCCAATCAGTTTTCCTTACTTTACAGTCAGGGTACCGACTGTATTCGAATGGTTGCCTATGTGAGTAGCAGGCTTAGTTGACAAGTCCTTACAATGGCATGGAGTCTATGCCAAGGCGGGCCTTGTCTCCTCCACAATCCGATTTTTTATGGGGAACGCGAACATTGATTAAAAAAAAAAAACACAAAAACTTTAACAAACACCAACGACCAAACTTCTTCTACCGAAGCCACGACTACGGACCAGTCAAAAGACGCGATTTTAAATTTGGGAGGGGACGACACGATCCTAACATTCAAAGATCTTATTTTATTTGGAGAAAACAAAAGCACTGATACTCAGTCAGGAAAGTGTTCCCTCTGGTTTTGGAAATGACGAGGAACTTGAAATCATTGTCATTCCCTAGCTTAAGAACCCGAAAGATGCAAAAGCAAAACAGGGTTATACAAGGTCGATATGATATTGTAAAAAATTTATCGGTTGGCACGTATTACGGAGGTTAAGATAAACATGAAGTTAGTTGTATAATTTAGTTACTTTACCCATCAGCTCTTTCAATCACGGTTGCTAATTGACATCACTGACAAACCTTATACACCATTCCTCTGCGAAGAAAGTGGAGCTCGGATAGCCTATGAGCGGCGTTTTAATTTTCACACACAACACCTTATTTATACATTTTGGTCGAAAAGAGCTGGATTTGAGAAGAGGCCCTTTTCTCCCCCTAAGGAAATTATTCAAACGACATATCCCCCTTCACAACTACCATCATCTAACATAATCGCCTTTCCCGTATCATCATCCCCAAATAAGTTACGTAATTTCAGAACTTTTTGTTTGTGTGAGATTTCGGTATTTTTTTTAACAAAAAAGTGAAAAAGTGCTTTTTACTATAATTGCTCTAAAATCAGCCTAATTCGCGATAAAGTAAATTACAGTCCACAAATTGCTCCTAAATTATTAGCAATCGTTAATATTTTTCCACATCTTGTGTTTTCATGGCATTGGTTCGGAATTTGTATCGAAAATAAGTGGTTCTTTATAATAAGTTACTAAATCGAAACAACCCCACAATGCATACATTTTATTTCACTTCTTTAATAAACTTGCTCCTTGTGCTTGAATATTTTAAGAATCCGCCACAATTTCTTTGCTTTGTTCAAAGGTCGTTCAGTATCTTCGGTTTTGTACACTAAAAACATTCATTATTTCACAGTGGTACCGAGTGGAAAAAAGTTCGAATTTATGGATTAATTTTATATTTTTTTTCTATATTTTCGCATGCATTTTTCGACGATTTCACCCTTTATACGGATTTTTCGAAATACTATCTTTAAAATTTTATTTCCAATTTTTCGATTGGCATCAATGATCATCGTCAAGGATTGAATTAAAAAAAAATACCATTAATTTTAATATTTTATAAACAATCAACAAATACAAATAATTACATTTGTTTATATTATCAAAAACTTACAGAGATTTAAGACTAAACTTTTTTTTTGTCTTCTATCGTGTTTCTATAAATTTGCGCACAGTGTTCTGTGTCTGATTTATAGATCATTCTATTTTTCATGAGAAATTTCTTTATATGAATCATTTCCAACATGTATCTTTGTTGGAGATGGTAACCCTGCAATTACCAAAGCTAAAAAAGTGTAGCCAAATTTGAAATACCACTGTTATAAATGGCCGAAATATCCCAAGCGAAGAGGGAGACGAAACTAAATTTAAGCCAACATCTTCATTTTGTTTATTTTTGTTGTTCTGCTTAATGTCACTTTTTATATAAATAGGCCCTTATGGCCATTGTTTATTCCCTTTTTTGTTAGAACCCAAAAATAAGTAAGTCGTGTTAATTTTTATTGTTTTTAAATTAAATATTTTTATTTTTTTTGTAAACTTAATTTTTGTTAAATTTTTAAAATTCTTACAGAGAATAAACAACGACAACTAAACTCACTATTTGTAAACAAACAAACCAAATAAACGCAGCTTTTATATTTTGCCGAAATTCTGCCAGTCTTGTCATTTGGGAGCCAGCCGAGTTTAGGTTTATTCCTGGAAAATAACAAAAAAGGACAACTTTATTCTTTATTCTTTGTTTATTTGTTTTATGTCAATTTAATTTCTGTCGTCAATTGTCTTGTTGAATTTGTGTTTATTGTTGCTGTTCATTAAAACGGACGGACATTTTTTAAAAACAGCTGTCACCACTTTAAGTCTCAAAAAAAAAATAATTCTTACCTGTATTCAAGAAACTCTGCCGGTTTTATGCCACAAAACCAAGATCTAACCAGAAGAACCAGTGGACGCAGCACTCAAGGAATTCCGCCAGCCCGATATAACCCTGACACTTACGATATGTCTGTCGTTCGCTCACCAACAGGAGATACGCCTACCAGCAGCCACCAAAAACAGCAACAAATGCCAGCTGCAGCCGCAGCCGTCAATACACCGCCGGCCAATACTTCTAAATCTTCTTCTTCTTCTTCTCAGTTACAGCTCCAAAAACCGCCTTCAAATACACCAGCCAAAACACCAAATCCTGCAAATGAATTAGCCGAGATGAGAAAACTTATGAAATTTGAAATGGAAGACGAATTTTTAGCAGCACAAGCAAAAATGCAAGCACAACTATTAAATACGTCACAGCAGTTTGCTTCTTTGCAAAACACAATGTCGCAGCAAGCATTGCCTACACTGACGTCACAACCACCAATTTTCTCAAATCAAACGACACAACAACCGCCATTGAATACGCCGCAACAGCCACAAAGGAATCTGCCACCACAGCCGCCATTGAATCTGCCACCACAGCCGCCATTGAGTCTGCCGCCACAGCCGCCATTGAATCTGCCATTACATTCAGTAGTTTTGCCACCACAAACAGTACCGCCAACAACAAGTCAACAGTTGCAGACTCAAGTGCATCAACTGCCGCCATTGTCTATCAACACAGATGAGTCTTTTCCAAATTCACTTTCAAATAACTCCAACGGAAATGCACATAAAAAAATTTATCCCTTGCCTATTTTTTCAGGTCTTCCAGAGGAGTGGCAGGCATTTTTCGAAGCCTACGAGAGCACCACAACCGAATTTGGTTACTCCAATCTCCATAACATCATGCGTTTGAGAGACGCATTGAAGGGCCGAGCAAGGGAAACAGTGGAATCCATGTTGGGGAGTTCTGCCAACGTCAGCGCCATTTTGGAAATTCTGCAGGAAACATTTGGTCGACCAGAGCAACTTATCCGAAGCCAAGTAGAAAAAGTCCGAGCCATTCCACCGCTGGCAGATGATAATTTGGATGCACTTGTCAACTTTGCCAACAAACTCTCCAATATGGCCACTTTCCTAAAAAACGCCAAGGGTGAACATCATCTATCCAATCCATCGTTGCTGAGTGAGCTAGTGTCCAAACTGCCGATAAACCGCCAAATGCAATGGGCCGAAAAATGTCTGCAACTCCAGCACCCCGCCACTATAGTTGATTTCAGCGATTGGTTGGGAATATTACGCCGTCTCGCACATATGGTCCACGACACACAGCCAATTTCAGCAACCTCGTCCAATCGCCGACACACACAAACACAACAAAAAAAATACGCATATGTCGCTGTCAGTTCGAGCTGTCCAATTTGTCAGGGAGAGTGCAACAATATAAAAATCTGTCCACACTTTTTAAAAATGACCATCGATGACCGATGGAATAAAATTAAACAAATTAAAACTTGTTTTTGTTGCTTAAAGAGAGGCCACCAACTTAAAAATTGCCACTATAAGCGTCGTTGTGGCATAAATGATTGCCAAAAATCACACCACCAATTGTTGCACAAAACACTCGCGACGCCATCCCAGGAACCGAACCGAACATTACCCACACACGATTTGGAGCCACGAACGAACACCCCATCTCTTCCCGACGCACCGCCGTCTCAAACACAACGAAGAAATTGTCATGCCGCCCACTACACCGAAAACGTACTGTTCCAGATTTTGCCCGTGACGCTATACGGAACACACAAACAAATAACGACGTACGCGTTCATTGACGACGGCGCCAATGTGTCCATGCTGGACGAGGACGTTGCTCGCGAACTCGGAGTACACGGGAAACCGGAGATTTTAAAAATTCAGTGGCTTAATAACCAAAACATAAACGAAAAAACAGAAAAAATTAATTTGACAATTAGTGGTGTCGGTGAGTACAACAACAAGTACCCGATAACCAATGTTTACATTTCGTCCAATCTGTCATTGCCAATACAGAGTTGCCATCTGGCTCATTTAATTAAATCCCGTGAAATCGACCAAATCGCCGAAATCCCATTCCGGGATTATTCGAATGTTCAACCTAAACTAATATTAAGCTTGCAACATTCATTTTTAACAGTTCCCTTGGAAGCTCCTCGTATGATGACCGATGTTGGACCAATCATTACCCTAACGAGATTAGGCGCCGTAATTTATGGACCGATCCCAGGCGAGAAGAGTTCCAATCTTAAGCGGGCTTTACACGTTAGGAAACGTTTCGAGGAAGAAAATTGTGACTTGCTTAAGGAAATGTATACCATGATGCGGCAATATTTCGACGTGGAGACATTGGGTACCAAGGTAAATGTGACACCAATTCTGTCCATAGATGATGAACGAGCGTTAAAAATATTGAGAGAAAACACGAAAAGAATCGATGGGCGATATCAGTGTCCGCTTTTGTGGAAAGAACATTTTTCTCCAATTCCAGAATCGTACAATTTGTCGTACAGCCGATTGCAGTGTGTGGAACAAAAAATGGCAAAGGACAGTGTATATGCAGCTCAATATTGCAAAAAGATAAGAGACTACGAGGAAAAAGGATATTGCCGTAAACTTTCAGTAGCAGAACGAGAAAGAAGGAGCGACCGAACGTTTTATTTGCCACATTTTGGCGTTAAAAATCCCAACAAAGATGGAATTCGTATCGTCTTCGATGCTGCTGCTGAAGTTCAACAATTTTCATTAAATAAAGCCTTATTACCTGGACCTGACATAAATAACTCTTTAATCTCTATTCTTTTTAAATTCAGGGAATTTCCTGTAGCCGTGTGCGGAGATATACAAGAGATGTTCCACCAAATTGTAATCGCCAAAGAAGATCAGGACAGTCAGCGATTTCTATGGAGAAATGGGGATCCCAGTCAACCCTTAGAAACTTATGTAATGGAACGGATGATTTTTGGAGCCACTTGTTCGCCCACCATAGCCCAATATGTAAAAAACCTAAATGCCCGAAGGTTTATAAATGAGTCGCCAAGAGCAGTACAAGGAATCATCGATCGTCATTACGTAGACGATTACGTCGACTGTTTCCAGACTGAAGGTGAGGCAGTTGAAGTGGTACGTGATGTCATAAAAATTCACAAAGAGGGTGGATTTAATCTCCGCAACATCAAGTCTAATTCCCTTGTTTTACAACGTATGTTTGGCAACCCTATTTCTGATGAAAGTGATGGCAACTCAATTTTTGATGATGGAATGGAACGGGTACTCGGTATTCATTGGCTGCCAAAATCAGATGTTTTTTGTTTTGAATTAAAATTACACAAAGTGGATGAAAAGATATTGAAATTGCAAAAAGTGCCAACGAAACGCGAAATGTTGTCTTTAAATATGTCCGTATTCGATCCATTCGGGTTTCTTGGTGATTTTATGGTGACGTCGAAGATAATTATGCAAAATGTGTGGAAAAGTGGTATAAAGTGGGACGAGAAGTTGCCGTCCGCGATTTATAGCCGCTGGAAGACCTGGCTGGAGGAATTGCCTAAATTAAAGGATTTCAAAGTTCCGAGGTGTTACAGTAATGGATTTTTTAATGGTATAGTAGATTTGCATGTGTTTGTGGATGCCAGTGAAGATGCAATGGCTGCTGTGGCATACTGGCGTATAGTAACAAATTGTGGTGTAAGTGTTGTGTTCGTTATGGGCAAGACGAGCTGTGCCCCAACAAGATACCATACTATACCTAAGCTTGAGTTGCAAGCAGCAGTAATTGGAGTGCGAATGAAGGAAAACATTTTGGAAAATCATTTGAAGAATATTAATAACATTTATTTTTGGTCAGATTCCTCAACAGTGATAAGTTGGATCCGTTCAGAACACCGTACATACAAACAATATGTGGCAAATAGAGTGTCGGAGATTCTGGAAAGCAGCCGTATTGAGCAGTGGCGGTGGTGTCCAGGAGCGGAAAACCCAGCTGACGAAGGGACCCGTGCTAAAGGACCCAAGAAGTACCAGCCAGAAGGACGTTGGAAAAATGGGCCAGAATTCCTGAGAAAAGAAGAGAAGTATTGGCCGGACGAGGAACAAATTGGAACATGTGTGGATCACAGCAAAACAGAGCTAAGAAACAAATACAAAGTTTTGGTGGCTTGTCAGGTATGTTTTTGTATTCCAGATATTAATAGATTTTCAAAATATCGTAGGCTGAAACGGGCAATGGCGTGGACATTCCGATTCGTTGAAAATATGAAGAGGAAATCAGTGGTGTCGGGTGATTTGACGGTGGAAGAAGAAGCACGGGCAGAAATGTATCTCTGTCGCTGCGTACAGCAAGAAGTACATGGGGATGAAATTCTTGACATACAGAGAACTGGATCAGTGTCTGCCAACAGCTCCATAAAGTCTTTAAATCCACAAATTGGAAGTGATGGTTTGCTTCGGGTATCTGGAAGAATAGAAAATGCTGTTTTTTTGTCCCTGGATACCAGACGACCAATAATTCTACACAAAGGTCATCGTTTTACACTTTTGCTGGTGGAATTTTACCATTCTCGTTTTTGTCACATAAATGTTGCCACTACAATGAGCGAAATTCGTCTGCGATTTTGGATTCCGTCACTTCGTCAACTTCTAAGAAGCGTTCAGTCCCGATGTCTTGTCTGCAAGATTCGTAAGGCCAAACCAATTCAACCACAAATGGCCCCGTTACCCTTGGAACGTGTCACACCTTATGTCAGAGCCTTTACCTACACAGGACTTGACTATTTTGGTCCTGTAACAGTGTCAATCCGGAGACAACGAGAAAAGAGGTGGGTGGCACTGTTTACATGCCTTACAGTTCGCGCTGTCCACTTGGAAATTGCAACAGACCTGTCGAGTGATTCCTGCCTAATGTGTATTCGGAACTTCATCAATCGAAGAGGCGTCCCAGAGATGATAAGAAGCGACAATGGGACGAATTTCGTTGGCATAGCAAAGGAGCTGCAAGGTATAACCAATTTTTTAGACACTAATTCCGTTTCTTCTGGTCTGACAGCTCTTGGAATAAAATGGGTCTACAATACGCCAGTGAATCCCAGCGAAGGCGGAGTATGGGAGCGTCTTGTCCAATCTGTTAAGAAGGCTCTTTACATCATGCTAAAGGAGCAAGCCCCAAAACTGGAGACTCTACAAGCGTTCCTGATTGAAGCGGAGAATATGGTCAACAGCAGGCCACTTACACATTTGCCAGTTACTCCAGAGGACCCAGATCCATTGACTCCAAACCACTTTCTGCTTGGATGTACCAATTCAACCCAGACTCCAGCACCGTTTGAGCCTAGACTGATGTGTTTAAGGAAGCAGTGGCGCGTCACCCAAAATTTGAAGAATGGCATGTGGCATCAGTGGCTTCGGGAATATCTTCCAGAATTAACTCGAAGAACAAAATGGTGTCTTCCTTCTCGGTCGTTGGATGTTGGTTGCCTTGTGTTTGTTTGTGATCCAGAGATGGCTCGGAGTCAATGGAGTCGTGGACGAGTCATCGAAGTATTCAGGGGCAAAGACGGAGTGGCACGATCAGCCAAGGTGAGAACGAGTGCCGGTGTATACCACAGACCTGTGTCCAAACTTGCCATTTTGGACGTGGTTGCGGCTGGAGACGGAGTTGGTGAAGCCTCCCCCTCTGGGTCAGTTCACGGGGGTGGGGATGTTGGAGATGGTAACCCTGCAATTACCAAAGCTAAAAAAGTGTAGCCAAATTTGAAATACCACTGTTATAAATGGCCGAAATATCCCAAGCGAAGAGGGAGACGAAACTAAATTTAAGCCAACATCTTCATTTTGTTTATTTTTGTTGTTTTGCTTAATGTCACTTTTTATATAAATAGGCCCTTATGGCCATTGTTTATTCCCTTTTTTGTTAGAACCCAAAAATAAGTAAGTCGTGTTAATTTTTATTGTTTTTAAATTAAATATTTTTATTTTTTTTTGTAAACTTAATTTTTGTTAAATTTTTAAAATTCTTACAGAGAATAAACAACGACAACTAAACTCACTATTTGTAAACAAACAAACCAAATAAACGCAGCTTTTATATTATGCCGAAATTCTGCCTGTCTTGTCATTTGGGAGCCAGCCGAGTTTAGGTTTATTCCTGGAAAATAACAAAAAAGGACAATCTTCATGTATTTTTGTTAACTAATTCGTGATACACTACACCAATTACATCCGGTACTTACCGGAATATTTCGAAATATTTTTCGATGTTTTTGCTATATATTCATTTTTATATTGGACCGCACCTTAGTCAAGAGTCGTTTTTTCTTCTTGAATATCTTCGACATTTCACCACAAAATTACGTTTTCACCTAATTTCCTTGCCTCAAAGATAAACAATCGTCTTTTCGCAAAATGTCGATTACACATTTGACGCGCTTCTGACAATGTCATAAAGTGTATTGCCTCCTTCCATCTACTTAAGACGGAAACTCATACCGTTTTCAATCTTGCAATAAGAGATAACCAGCTCCAAAGTCAAAGACACGACAATTGTATTGACCATTTAGTTACATCAGAAGGTACGATGAGTGATAACATTTGCTCTGCCCATGAAAAATATCAAAACAGTTGTCAGCATATATTGATTGTTTTTCTGCGATTAATGAAAAATTGCTCCAGCTTAAGTCAGTTACATCTCCTCCTGCTAACCTTACTTGTCCACCTGTAATTCAAAACAAAAAAAAACTCAAAACGGCCAAAATTTAGAATCAGTTGTCAACTCCGATCGAAAATCGAAACATTAGAAATATATCTAGTCAAAGCCTAAATCCTCCCAATGCTGGAATGGACAAATCTCCGAACCCTGAAGAAGTGTCGATATTTAATTGAAGTTAACCCCTTTTTGTGTCCAACGCCATGCACAACCTCAGTCCTCCCCGGTGCGACATTGATGATATACATGGCGATTTCTTATCTTGGCAATATACATAAACAACTCTCGATTACTTTGTCGCTTAATACGCAAAACAAAAGGCGAATCTAAAGAAATAGTTTCGAAATTTCTGGCTGGCAATTTAAACCGAGTGCTGGCTTCAAAACTTTGCAACTGGGCATCATTGGTTGCTTGCCGGCCATGTGAGTTTATGACATTGTAACGGATCATCGGGATGCTATTGTTGTCTTTCTCTGTATTCATCGTTTGCAAAATCTTAAGGTGATACTCTGGGAGCAGAGTCTCAAAGATAAATCGTCCTTATCGTCATGGAACGACCTCGAGTCCTTTCTAACTGAGAGAATTCAAATGCTTGCCTGCCAGTGCGATAACAAGAGTATTGTAGCGTGTAACATAAAACAAATGTGGCAGGTAGTATTCAGGATTCTCATTTTTTTACGAGTGCACTCTTGAAACCAGCCTTATAGCTCGTCGGATTGTCCTTATAACCTTGGACAATCCTATTGCCACTGAGCTACTATTAAAATATAAAAAAATACGCGAATTTTTCTTTGGGTGTACACAAAAGGATCTAGCACAATATGAGGAAACGGAAACAGTTTAGGAGAGCAAGAGCTCTGTAAGAAAAAAAGTTAACAGACTAATAACAGAAAGGTATTTTAAATTTGGAGAAAATCGAAGCTGTTAAAATAGAGGAGAATTGAAGAGACCAAATGACGTGAGCAACATGATATTTTGTTGCTCAAAAGAGCGCACCCAACCATGACTGCAACATGATGTATCCAAGGAAAGAGTAAAGTGTTGTTGCAGCCCCTGAAAATGTCCAAAGTAACCTTTTCCTACTTTAAAGAGAACTCAAACTGATTTGATTTAATTTATTCTGAGTTCATTTTCTTCTCTTTGTTTAACAAATCTAAGATTAACTTTGGAATCCAATATTGCTGCTAATTTTTATTTCATTAAATAGTATTATTCTATAATATTTTAAAGAATTCAATGTGGGAAAACAACTTTAGTGAATAAAATAATTTCAACATCATCAAAATAACTTCTTTACAGTTTTAGTGATATTCTCAATAAATTTCATTTGCATGTAAAGACAACGAGACCAAACTATAAAAAGTTAATTGAACGAACAAAAATAAAAAAACGATATTTTAGCTAAAGATATATTAAATAATACAAAAAAAAAAATATTATTAATATTAATATTAAATATAAATGCAATTATAATTTCAGGTAAGTGCTCACAAAAATCAAAAAAAAAAAAATAATAAAATAAAAGGAAATTGCATATTTTAATTTTTCTTTCAGAAATAATCAACTTGTTGGCCATCTGTCTATGTTGGGTAACAAAACGATGTTAAATTATCATAAGGCAGTTGTGAGTTCTAAATAGGGTGACCATATAATTAATCGAAAATTATCAACAATTTTAAAAAAAAGGTATTATTAGAATTTTATTGTGCAAAATTAAAGTCTTTCGCCATCAGAATTCTAAATATTTTCATTTGAACCGATTTCAATAATCAAGTATTGAACAATTTTAGTGAAAACAAGTAAAAGAACATTAAGTTCGGCCGGGCCAAACTTTTAATACCCTCCACCTTAGGGTAAAGGAAACATTAGAAGAAATGTGGCAAAAACCATCAAAATACCGAATATCGAAGGGTACCATTATATGGGGGCTATACCAAATCATGGACCCATAATTACAATGACTTTATGATCTACAACTACCAAATTTTCAGAGAAATTCGTAAAAAATGTGTCAAAAATCATCAAAATACCGAATATTGGGAGGTACCGTTATATGGGGACTATACCAAAACGACCTATACATACAATGTTTCGCCACACGAACTAGGACCCACTACGACTCACAAATACCAATTTTTAGACAAATCAGTGAAAAAATGTGGCAAAAACCATCAAAATACCGAATATGGGGAGGTACCGTTATATGGGGCCTATACCAAATCATGGACCCATACATGCAATGTTAAGCCACCGGAGCTAGAACCCATTATGACCTACAAATACCAATTTTCAGACAAATACGTGAAAAAAATGTGGCAAAAATCATCAAATTACCGAATATCGGGAGGTACCGTTATATGGGGGCTATAACGCCATATACCAAACCGTGGACCTATATACCAAACCCTGGACCTATAATAACAATGACTCGCCATACGAACTGGGACCCATTATGATCTACAACTACCAAATTTTCAGAGAAATTCGTAAAAAATGTGTCAAAAATCATCAAAATACCGAATATTGGGAGGTACCGTTATATGGGGACTATACCAAAACGTGGACCTATACATACAATGTTTCGCCACACGAACTAGGACCCATTATGACCTACAAATACCAATTTTCAGACAAATCCATGAAAAAATGTGGCATAAATCATCAAAATACCGAATATCGGGAGGTACCGTTTTATGGGGACTATACCAGAACGTGGACCGATATATCTCATTTTCAATACCAACCATCCTAGACTTAATACCAATTGCTCTGCTAAATTTTGGCGCTCTACGTCAAATAATGTGGGCTGTATCGTGATTTCAACAGACAGACGGACAGACAGACAGACGGACATCGTTAAATCGACTTAGAATTGTATGCTGATTATGAATATATATACTTTATGGGGTCTACGACGAATATTTAAGGATGTTAAAAACGGAATGACAAAGTTAATATACCCTCCTTTCCAAGGTGGAGGGTATTATAGTTTAAATATTGTAGCAAGTCATATGTGTACGTGGGGACACTCCTCTATTCTCTTTATACATTAATATCAACGAAGGCAAATAAAAGAGTGCATTGACTTACTTTGATTCTCCTTGTGTTTCTCCTTCGTAGAAAGCGCTTTCGACGCCGGCAGTGTAGTGTTGTTGTTAACATGAATGGATCAAAGAGACTTCAAGTAATAGTTCACCCTTTTCTCAGAGAGCGTTATCAGTATGCAGAGAATGTAAAATATGTTGAACGGGAGACTTTAACACTTTGCACACAATGAATACAATGTTATTGTTTATGTTAGTTAACATTTGCAAGAAGGAACATCACTTAACAGAATAAAACAGCAGTAGGTTTTCAACTAAGTTAAATCGTGACACTAATTATCATTAAAGGTCATAAAAATTCCAAACAAAATATGTGTATGTTCATGTGTATATTAAGTGATGTTTCTTTTGCTAAAACCAACGGGGATCAAAAATTGTTCATTTAAAAGCAAAAACTTATGTATAATTTTTTCCACTTTTCTTCAATTATTCTATATGCACTCTTCTTTATGTTTCTTTTTTTATTAATTTTTTTAAAGATAATAAAATTTAGGAGGAAAATAATATCCTTAAATATAAATAACACTAGAATATTACAATTTTAATGATTTTCAAATTACTAATGGAGGGTTTTCCCGTATCAATAAACAATAACTAAATGCGATTAAATAAAAGTTAATGACTATTAAATTTTCTTACTATCACTTTGACCGAAATATCGAGTGGAAAAAAAGTTTTAAGCCGAAGTAGCGATATTTGTGATTAACTCACGTTGAAATTATACTTCTGGCACTATATTTGGAGGCTTATTTTGTACAGAGCAGGCTGTTAGGGACGAAATAATTTTTACTTTTGTGGTCCGTGCGGAATTTATTTGATGAAGGAGTCGTTGCGACGGTCGGAAAACGGCGTTACATTCATTAGATGATGCGTTCGTTGAGATGGCAAAAAGGAACTGAATTTGCATATTCATGAAGTGTGTGAGTTCAGAGTGACAGTGGGAGAATAGCTTTGAAGCGGATAGTCTCACTTAGCCTCTATTCTCTATCCTGTATAAATGTTGAGAAATTGAGCCATTGAATCCATTGGAGCGAACAATCATTAAATGAGAAACATATAAAACCGCATGCAAGATCAAAATGAAATTACCTTTTGAACAAAAGTTATGAATGTTGAATAATAAAATTGGAATAAAAGCTAAAGCGGTTGAATATGGTCCAAAAGGTCAACTTTTTAGGAATAATTTGGCCAAAAAAAATCCAAAAAATAATGTGGCACTAAAAATAAGAAGAAAAATATTACTTTCCTTAATTTACCAATTGAGGCAATAGGAATGAGGTTTGTGTACTTACAATGCACGCAAAGATAAAACGCAAACGTTAAGTGAAGCAAAATTTTTTACCGTTCTTTCTGTTTTTAAGTATTATTTTTAGTATAAAAAATCACTTTCACTTAACCAAATGCACGAGTTTCCTTCTAAAATCTTAGAAAAAAAACCTTGAACGTCATTCTATTCGCTCTTGTTCTCATTTTAAACGGTTTGCTTACGATCAAAAAGTAGTTATATTAAAAAGGTTAGTCTTAGGTTTCAACTGTTTATTTAGAGGTCATTCGATTCAGAAGTGTCCCTGCACCCACATCCGCAACTAATGCATAGGTCAATTAGAACGAATCTTACCCGTAGTATAGTATATAGCCCTAGCTCTCCAATCAATCAAGATCTAACTCAGATAATATTGTTTCAACGCCCACAGGTGCAAATCCTACGTTAGTAAATCGACAAGTGGCACCGCCATAACAAATCTCGTTCTTCAGGGTAGTTATTATCCAACTAGAGCTGTCATAGACACCGCTTTCGAAGCTACCTTTATTATTAAAAGCCTTCGGCACACCTACCTTCCCGCTCCAATTTTGCCACCATTTCTGTTTTAGTTACTTCATCCACAATAATGTATAGAATATTATGTAGTGCTAGTATCAGTTCTCATCTCTATTCCTCCAGTACATTGAAAAAGAAGCTATTGTTCGGCGTACTTTTTCTAGTAACTCTCCTTTTAATATATGTTTAGCAGAATGAAACTGAACTTATTGAACTGAAAATATAAATATCTCACACAGCACTGAACTTACGTTTCTAATATCTAAAATCAAATATTATAATTACTAGAATAGTCTATCGTCGTCAGAGAGAGTTAGCCTTTCTGGGAGAAGGGGACCCTAAAAGGTTGCAGTTTGGCAGCGCCACCCTTTACAAGGGCGTGAAAGTCATCTGCTGTGAAAACGAGTAGTCTAAATAAATCCTATTCACTACAGTAGCTGGCTTTCACGCTCCTGTAGGAGGAAGAAAACAACACCTTTTTAGTATCATGCAGATTAATCGGTATAACTTCCAAGCAGATTCTCCCGAACTTCTCCTATCCCTCACGAAAGATGAAGTAGACTAAACCCTAGCCCAGGAACCTTATATATACAATAATAAGAGGAGTGTGCAGTATGTCTCTTACACCGTCTCCAATGGTGGAAAGGTTAGTACGTGCATTGTTGCTAAAAAGAATTTAAACTTAATCTTCCGATGTAACTTCAGCGGAGGAGACATAACGTTGGCGAGATTGGAGACTAACCCCGGGAGTGTTGCATCTTAACATCTGCCGTATGAGCGACCCTAGCCCCTTGCACGAGTGCTATCCGCTTGGTGGTCACAACATTGAGCCAAATTAAAGAGGGCTAGTAGGCTTTCATACAATAGTGCCAAGAAGATTTTCAGACAAATCCGTGAAAAAATGTGGCATTAATACTCAAAATACCGAATATTGGGAGGTACCGTTATATGGGGACTATATCAGGGGCTGGATTCTTGTTCTATGAAAAAATGTGGCATTAATACTCAAAATACCGAATATTGGGAGGTACCGTTATATTGGGACTATATCAGGGGCTGGATTCTTGTTCTATGAAAATATGAAATGAAAAATATTTCCTTTATAAAATTTTTCATTTGATATTTATTTCCTTTATAAAAGTTTTCATTTCATATTTTCATAGAACAAGAATTGAGGCCCAGAACGTGGACCGATATATCATTATCAATACCAACCATCCTAGACATAATACCAATTGCTCTGCTAAATTTTGGCGCTCTACGTCAAATAATGTGGACTGTATCGTGATTTCAACAGACAGACAGACGGACAGACAGACCGACAGACAGACGGACATCGTTAAATCGACTTAGAATTGTATGCTGATTATGAATATATATACTTTATGGGGTCTACGACGAATATTTAAGGATGTTACAAACGGAATGACAAGGTGGAGGGTAGAATTATAGTAACAAGTCATATGTGTACCTGGGGACTCTCCCCTATTCTCTTTATACATTAATATCAACGAAGACAAATAAAAGAGGGCATTGACTTACTTTGATTCTCCTTGTGTTTCTCCTTCGTATAAAGCGCTTTCGACGTCGGCAGTGTAGTGTTGTTGTTAACATGAATGGATGAAAGAGACTTCATTTAATAGTTCACCCTTTTCTCAGAGAGCGTTATCAGTATGCAGAGAATGTGAAATATGTTGAACGGGAGACTTTAACACTTTGCACACAATGAATACAATGTTATTGTTTATGTTAGTTAACATTTGCAAGAAGGAACATCACTTAACAGAATAAAACAGCAGTAGGGTTTCAACTAAGTTAAATCGTGACACTAATTATCAATAAAAGTCATAGAAATTCCAAACAAAATATGTGTATGTTCATGTGTATATTAAGTGATGTTTCTTTTGCTAAAACCAACGGGGATCAAAAATGGTTCATTTAAAAGCAAAAACTTATGTATAATTTTTTCCACTTTTCTTCAATTGTTCTTTATGCACTCTTCTTTATGCTTCTTTTTTATTAATTTTTTTAGAGATAATAAAATTTAGGAGGAAAATAAAATCCTTAAATATAAATAACACTAGAATATCACAATTTTAATGATTTTCAAATTACTAATGGAGGGTTTTCCCGTATCAATAAACAATAACTAAATGCGATTAAATAAAAGTTAATGACTATTAAAGTTTCTTACTATCACTTTGACCGAAATATCGAGTGGAAAAAAAGTTTTAAGCCGAAGTAGCGACATTTGTGATTAACTCACGTTGAAATTATACTTCTGGCACTATATTTGGAGGCTTATTTTGTACAGAGCAGGCTGTTAGGGACGAAATAATTTTTACTTTTGTGGTCCGTGCGGAATTTATTTGATGAAGGAGTCGTTGCGACGGTCGGAAAACGGCGTTACATTCATTAGATGATGCGTTCGTTGAGATGGCAAAAAGGAACTGAATTTGCATATTCATGAAGTGTGTGAGTTCAGAGTGACAGTGGGAGAATAGCTTTGAAGCGGATAGTCTTACTTAGCCTCTATTCTCTATCCTGTATAAATGTTGAGAAATTGAGCCATTGAATCCATTGGAGCGAACAATCATTAAATGAGAAACATATAAAACCGCATGCAAGATCAAAATGAAATTACCTTTTGAACAAAAGTTATGAATGTTAAATAATAAAATTGGAATAAAAGCTAAAGCGGTTGAATATTGTCCAAAAGGTCAACTTTTTAGGAATAATTTGGCCAAAAAAAAAAAAATCCAAAAAAGAATGTGGCACTAAACCTAAGAAGAAAAGATTTACTTTCCTTAATTTACCAATTGAGGCAATAGGAATGAGGTTTGTGTACTTACAATGCACGCAAAGGTAAAACGCAAACGATAAGTGAAGCAAAATTTTTTTACCGTTCTTTCTGTTTTTAAGTATTATTTTTAGTATAAAAAATCACTTTCACCTAACAATCCATCTGAAGTGTATTATAGGAGTTTCACTTAACCAAATGCAAGAGTTTCCTTCTAAAATCTTAGAAAAAAACCTTGGCATTGCTTTAAGCTAACGTTTCTATTCCAAAACTCTCGTTAAAAGTTACAATTCCATTTAACAAGAAAGAAGTTATTTGAAACAAAATGCAGCCAGGAATGCAAGCGCCATTACAGTATAGATTCTTCAAAGTCTTCAAATTCGCGCAACCATAAGGCACATTCACTAAAATCAATTGACGCAGTGAAATTTTATACCAATCATCGTTGTCATATTTGACCTATTGAACGTCATTCTATTCGCTCTTGTTCTCATTTTAAACGGTTTGCTTACGATCAAAAAGTAGTTATATTAAAAAGGTTAGTCTTAGGTTTCAACTGTTTATTTAGAGGTCATTCGATTCAGAAGTGTCCCTGCACCCACATCCGCAACTAATGCATAGGTCAATTAGAACGAATCTTACCCGTAGTATAGTATATAGCCCTAGCTCTCCAATCAATCAAGATCTAACTCAGATAATATTGTTTCAACGCCCACAGGTGCAAATCCTACGTTAGTAAATCGACAAGTGGCACCGCCATAACAAATCTCGTTCTTCAGGGTAGTTATTATCCAACTAGAGCTGTCATAGACACCGCTTTCGAAGCTACCTTTATTATTAAAAGCCTTCGGCACACCTACCTTCCCGCTCCAATTTTGCCACCATTTCTGTTTTAGTTACTTCATCCACAATAATGTATAGAATATTATGTAGTGCTAGTATCAGTTCTCATCTCTATTCCTCCAGTACATTGAAAAAGAAGCTATTGTTCGGCGTACTTTTTCTAGTAACTCTCCTTTTAATATATGTTTAGCAGAATGAAACTGAACTTATTGAACTGAAAATATAAATATCTCACACAGCACTGAACTTACGTTTCTAATATCTAAAATCAAATATTATAATTACTAGAATAGTCTATCGTCGTCAGAGAGAGTTAGCCTTTCTGGGAGAAGGGGACCCTAAAAGGTTGCAGTTTGGCAGCGCCACCCTTTACAAGGGCGTGAAAGTCATCTGCTGTGAAAACGAGGAGTTTAAATAAATCCTATTCACTACAGTAGCTGGCTTTCACGCTCCTGTAGGAGGAAGAAAACAACACCTTTTTAGTATCATGCAGATTAATCGGTATAACTTCCAAGCAGATTCTCCCGAACTTCTCCTATCCCTCACGAAAGATGAAGTAGACTAAACCCTAGCCCAGGAACCTTATATATACAATAATAAGAGGAGTGTGCAGTATGTCTCTTACACCGTCTCCAATGGTGGAAAGGTTAGTACGTGCATTGTTGCTAAAAAGAATTTAAACTTAATCTTCCGATGTAACTTCAGCGGAGGAGACATAACGTTGGCGAGATTGGAGACTAACTCCGGGAGTGTTGCATCTTAACATCTGCCGTATGAGCGACCCCAGCCCCTTGCACGAGTGCTATCCGCTTGGTGGTCACAACATTGAGCCAAATTAAAGAGGGCTAGTAGGCTTTCATACAATAGTGCCAAGAAGATCAAACAACGTATGAACTGGGATAAACAGCACCGAATCAATGAAAAACATGAATGACTCTCTGTTCGCCATTGCGCTTGACCTCTTTACGAGAAAACGTAAACGTCATTTCTTCATACCACCGATGCTAGATGGATTCACATCAACCCTCTCCTCTTAAACCAAATACCTCGGCACCATCTACATTGAAAGATAAATGTACAAATAGAAGCTTAATTGTATTCTATTTTTGCAAGAACTCTATAGGTAACAGTTGGGGTCTCAAATCACACATAATTATGGTTTATGAGTCAATTGTTCGCCCTACCTTAACTTATGGAGCTTTAGCCTGGAAGCACTCCTTAAATAAGTCATCTTTTTGACGAAGAATTGACAAAGTCCAAAGAGATGCATCGTTATTAATACAGGTGCTTTCAGGTGCTTAAGACCACTAAGCATCCACGTAGAGGAACAACCACTTAGGTGTGCTCTCCAATGACGCAGTTAATTCTATTGACATTCTGCGATCCTAGGTCGGATAAGAACTGTGGGAGGGGAAGCCAGCACAGGTGACTACATTTCACCAAGGTTGAGTTTCAACCCACCCATCATCTGACAGGGATATCTGGGCCCGTAGCAATTCACCTTTCCGCGGCATAGCTGTATATACTGACGGTTCTTAGATGGAATGTGGAACGGGTGCAGGATTCTTCTGTGACACTCTTAATGTGCATGAATTCTACGACTGTTGTGTATTCCAAGCAGAAATATTTGCGGTGAAAGCATCCACAGACTTATGGGGCACGAGGAACGATAAGGG